CGGGGGGCGGGGGGGGGGCGGGGCCGGGGGGGCGTGTCCGGGGCGGGGCGGCGGGGCCGGGGCGGGGCGGGGCGGCGGGGAGGCATGGGTCCCGCTTTCTCATTGCTGGGCAGCGCCCGACCTGTCGGTCAGTGGTTTGGTCTGAGCGGCCCTTTAAGGATGATCCAGTCCCACTCCCCTGCCATAGGTACGGGTTGCTCGAAACCCCGTTCAACCCGGCCTTGAGAGCTACCGGATATGTCCAGCTGAGGTTGCGCTCGTGCACGTGGCGACTGTTGTCCCTTGCTCTGGCACTACTGCTCTTGGCATAAGAATATTTTTCTGTCTTTCTTCGAAGCTCCGTCTGCACGCTGATAGGCTGCAATAAGGTCTCTCCAGAGCCGCCTTCTCCTCCATGCTGAACACCCTCAGCTCTCCAACCTGTCTCCAGCCCTTGGAGCAGCTCTGTGGCCTCCTCTGGACTGCCTCAGCAGCTCCAAATCTGTCTTGTTCTGAGAGTCCCAGGACTGGAGAAAGCTCTGCAAGTGGGGTGTCACCCGAGTGGGGCAGAGGGACACAGTTCTTCCCCTCAGCTGCTGCCCATGCTGCTGGGGATGTGCACACTGCCAGCCCCTGTCCAGTTTTTCGTTTTCCTTTTCAGAACCTTTCATCCATTCACTTCCTGGTCTGGTTCCAGAGATTGCCCCCAGCCAGATGTAGGGGAGGATTTCAGGAAGCCTGAGCAGCACAGTTTCCTTGCCTCCTGGCCACCCTCACTGTGCACTCAGGTGCGCTGTATTCCTATTTCTGGTGGCACCAGGAGCGCTGCCCCAGTATGGCCACAGGCTCTGTCCCTGTTCACAGGGCCTCAGAACCAAGGCTTGCCAAGTGTGCTCTGCATTTTTCATACCCTGCCCGCAGCTTTGTTCACTTTGTTCTCTTCCATTTGTTCACTTTAGATGTGAGAGCAATTTCTCCAGGTATCTGTGGTTAATTTATTTTACTTATCTATCTTTGCGTGGTACAGCCATGGGCTTGTATTGGTAGTAATAGCAAACAGTTATTCTTGGTAGAATGAGATATTTACAACTCTTAACACATACCTATGTGACTAAGTGGAAGGAAAGAGAAGAAAGGAAAAAAAAATTAAAAAAGAGGAAACTATGCACAAGAACATTCCTCCCAGTGAAGGACTCAGATGCTGACAACTTCCCATGACTCTCCCCTCCTCCTCTGCAAACATCTGAGTGAACCATAGATCTTAATATCCAGAAGAGCAGCAGGCAGGTCAGTGTAACACCAGGGAAAGCACAGAAACAAAGTGCATATGTTGCAGCTTTAATTGTATTATTGCTACTAGTGCAGCTTTTTTCTTATATATAAGTACTTGATTACATTATTTTTTTTTGCTTTTCTGTTATTAGATGTAGATTTATTATTACTCTCAAGTCAGACTGTTAAATTTTCTATTATACTAAAAATAAATTTTGGCTTTAAATGTGGATGTAAAGTGATGTGACTGATACTCTATATGGAAGGGATAGGGCATCCCGAAGGATCTGGACAGGCTAGAGAGAACGGCCCATTCCAACCTCATGAAGTTCAACAAGGCCAAGTGCATGGGTACAGGCTGGGTGACAAGTGAATCCAGAGCAGTCCTTTGGAGAAGGACTTGGGGGTCTTGGGGAATGAAAAACTGAGTATGGGCCAGCAATGTGCACTCACAGTTGATTGTAGCCTGGGCTCCATCAAAGGGAGCATAGCCGGCAAAGGAGCCTAGACTCTAGTTACCTGCCTTAGGGGAAGGTGTTTCTGCCCACGGAGAGAGGTGTAAGTAGATGATCTTTAAGGACTCTTGCAGCCAAAACCATTATGTGATTCTGTGAAGGTCCATCAGTGGAAAGCACACAGAGTGTGTGCACTTAGACATTCAGCCTACCCAGCAGCTGCCTCTCGATGCCTTGGACATGCTAGACCCTCTGAGGTGCACAACCCCACCACTGGTACAGATTCCATTGTACACAACAACCTACAAACAGACGTGTACACTGTGTACACTCCACTACATGTGATGAGGTGCTCAGGATGCAGCTGTCTCCTGCACAGAGAAACACAGACCCTCAACCCTTCACCTTCAGTCTAATAGTCAACTACTCCAGTGGTCTCACTAATACAGACATACACACACCTGTTTCACAAACTACTTGGCCTATTTGCTGGCTAATCTGGCTTGATATTTACTAGTGATCATAGACTGACATGGTCTTGCTCAATCCCATTGTGGGGACTTAAATCCGCATGCATACATATGCCCAGAGCACAGCACTGTGGAGCTGGACAAAAAAAAGAAGTAGAAATGTTAGAAAACAAGAAAGACTGTGATTACCAGGCAGAAGACACAGATAGACATTCATACTGATTAGCACCATTCTACATGCAACCAGCCCCTTCTATTTCCCTTGCCTCCATTTTCTTATGTTTGTTCATTCCCAAACAACCTAGACCCATCCCTTTCCACACCTTCTGTTCCTCCCCTAAACATCCTGTTGTGAGTCTTGTCCCCAAATGCTCTTGCCCTGGACCTCCCAGCGTTTTCTGTGCCCCTAGTCAGTACTCAGTTTGTAGGGTGCTCCACAACCTCTCCCACTGACTCATCATGGGTGCCACCTCTAGGCCCATGGGACTGATAGCTCCCCTGAGACGTATTTAGAAAGAGCTGGGAGAGGGCCTTTATTTCTCTTACTCAGTGATTTGTGTTCCCCAGCCTGTGCTTGTCTCTCTTTGCCCCTTCCCCTCTGTACAGTTGAGCCTTTCATGGGTTGCCTGCACTTCGATGGTGGTTCTTGGATTTGCCAAACTAGGGGAACATTTGGGTCCCCCCCTCCCCCCAGCCTTGTTCCTCTGTGTTCCTTTGTGTGCATTGAGGTGAGCTTTTTCCCACATAACCTCACTCTTGTACTGGGCCACTTCTGTAACAGTTACTGGCCCTACACACTCCGTTACTCAACATGTCTATTTGAGAAAACAGACTCTCAAATCCACTTAGAGGATCAGATCTTTACTTAACCTCACAGCCCACATCTTGTGGGCATTTCCTCTTATCTTCATGTATAATTATATCAAGGTTAAAAATAGAGTAGTCTACCAAACCAGTATAGCTCCCAATGCCAGTGTCTGATTAACCTTCTCACCCTTTCTGCTTTAGCTTCTAAAATAGAAGTGATTTGCTAGATTATCTTGCATCTCCTTTCCATTCTAAGAAGACTGTTTGTATCATTGAAGGTTTCTGGTTTGTGGATCAGCCTCCAAGAAGATTAACATTTATAATTGGTTTGTGGAAAGTTAGATCCCTCACGTAACTGACATTAGTGTTGAGCATGGACAGGAGCGAACAGGCAGTGCTCTGAGAGCCACAGGAGAAAGAGGATCATTCCTGTATCATCATCCTTCTGACCACAGGTACATATGGGAAACAACAGCAGCTCCACAGTGGATGATCTACAGGCTGTCGAGATCCACCACTGGTACAAGAAATTCATGACAGAATGTCCTTCTGGACAGCTGACAGAGCATGAATTTAAGCAGTTCTTTGGGCTCCGAGGGCTGGATCCAGAGGCCAATAAGTACATTGAGCAGATGTTCCGCACGTTTGATATGAACAAGGTGAGTTCTCCGGCAAGGAATTAACTGTCTCGTGCTGCTTAGAAGTGATCCAACTCCTGCAGTTTCAGAGTCTTTGTCTTTCTCTTGCAAACATAAAGAACATAAATATTCTCTTGGAAACATTTTTCTCTTGCAAACATTGGTGTGGAAAGATGCCAAGGGATGCTGATGTAAAGTACCTAAATGTAAGGAGCAAATTAATGTGTACAGGTAATAATATAGATGACATAAACAGTACTCCTGATTATCTAACTACCTCATGCAAGTTCATCTTTGAATTTTGAAAATTCCTTATTGCCTATTATTTGACATGGCCTTGTTTAACTAGCAAAATGCTAATTTCACTATTCTTCTTACATGTTCTTATTATTCAAAAACATAGCTGTATGAGATTGTGGAGACCACAGGAATCAGACACAATAGAAATCATTATAGTATTCACAGAGGAGTAATTTCCAGGTATTTGGCAGCTGAAATTAACACTACATGCGCAGACAATGTCTGTGGCTCTCCTCAGTGCTGGAAGGTGCAGCATGAGAGTGAGGGGGTGTGTATTGTTCCTCATGGTGACGAGTGACTGCTGGTAGAAAACAGGAGCCCCCATAATTCCTTTAAGCATGCAATGGCCCTCACTCTTGCCTGCTTTTTATCCATATGTATTTCAGCCTATGCTTGAAAGCCTGTATTCTTAATGACAAAGAAAACTGGGTTTATAGCATCCTGGGAAAATTCAGATATACTCTCTGCTCCAAGGCTCTGGAATGGAGTCAAGGAGGATCCAGTCACAGAGCCATGAGAACCAGGCAGGAAATCACAGAGTTAGTCTTGAAGAATGAAAGCTTAGGGACCAACAAAGAATGTTATTTTGGACATGTGAGACAGTATAAGGAGCTAAGGAATGCTTAGGAATATTACAAAATTCTTAAAGAGAGGAGCAGGCAGGCCCCCTTAGGGTAGCTGAGGTCTTGTGGTAGATGACTGGAAATGACTGAAGACCTCAAAGAACATCTTCTCTCATCCCAAAGTCCTCTGTGACTAGGAGAGTAAGAGTGATGAGAAGCAGTTTCATAAGTGAAAGCAAAACCTTAACAGCTTTTGCACAAGTCTTTCTTTCATTTCACCTTTCTCCCTTCTTGGGATGTTTAAGGACTTTAAAATTTATTCAAGGATGTTGAGCATTCCAGATTTTTCCTGTGAGCCCTATGTTATCCAGTAAACAATGTTACAAGAAGATTCTCAAATTCAAACTTGGTCAGAAAAGATTAAAAGCTATCATCTAAAAAAAGTGACAGTGATCACAAGGGGAATGAAGTAAGAGTGTGGCAACTAGTGGCAATGGATCTACATCAGTTAATCTTAGTCTGCTAACAGCTAGTCACTTAATCGCTTTTTATGAACAAGGGCAAGGAACAAGGAACAGAGGAAAATCCACCCTGTCGTAATACAGACATGATGGATGGAATTGTCTGCCTTCTGGACCTTCAGATTTTGAGAACTTTGATGATGACAAATAGGATAAATTTTCAATGTTCTTCTTTTATAAATTGCAATTGTAGAATTGTAGAATGGTTTGGGTTGGAAGGGACCTTAAGGGCCATCTCATTCCAGCACCTCCCATGGGCAGGGACACCTTCCACTATGTCAGGTTCCTCCAAGCTCCATCCAACCTGGCCTTGGACACTTCAGGGGCCAGGACCTCATCACCCCCTGAGTAAAAACTCCTTCTCAACACCTCATCCAAATCTCCCCTCCTCTAGATTGAAACCATTCCTCCTTGTCCTGTGCAACCTGCCCATGCAAAAAAGCCACTTCCCCCCCATTATTATAACCTGCTGCAGGCACTGGAAGGGGCACTGAGATTTCCATGGAGCCCTCTCTGGGCTGAAGAATGAATGTGAACAGCACAGCAGATGGACAGACAGAGCAGGGACTCTCAGCTTGTGGGTGCACTGAGCAGGGCCGAAAACACGGTTAATGATGAACGCAGAAACTTTACTTCAACACTTCAGTCACGTCAGCATCGGTGTGGCCACAGCAGAGCAGCATGGGCAGGACAGAGAAGCCTCTGGCCCAAGGCTACCTTTGGCCTGGCAGGAAATGCTGTGGTCCACTGTAGCCCTGGGTCCTGCTCATCCTGTTGCTGCTCAAGCTTCTTTGTCCTTCAGGAACTGCAGGAACTCCTGCATCAGATTCCAGAATTGCACCAGGATCTGGTGTGGGAACATCACGGGCAGTGACGTGCCCGAGGATGTCACCACTGGTCGCTGACTGTACTCAGGGGTCAAGCGGATGTGTTCCTCTGGTTCCTCTGGTTCCAGACTCTGCTCAGGGGCCAAGGTGACAACTGGCTCTGGTGCTGGACCGGCTCTTTCTGCTGGGCTCAGGCCCGTCTGGAGCAGGATCCAGTTGTAGAAGTGCTGAGTGGAGGTGTAGACCCCGGGGTGCCTGGCTCTGTCACAGCCTTTTCCCCAGCTGTTCATTCCCACAAGCCAGAAGTAGTCGGCTCTGTTGTCCTTGCAGACGAGGGGACCCCCGCTGTCCCCCTGTGCCAGGAGAGAAGGCTCAGAGGCTGTGGTGGGCTGCTGCCATCCCCAGGGCTGGCTCCTCTCTCCCATCCCCAGGGCTGGCTCCTCTCTCCCATCCCCAGGGTTTGCTCCTCTCTCCCATCCCCAGGGTTATCTCCTCTCTCCCATCCCCAGGGTTGTCTCCTCTCTCCCATCCCCAGGGCTTGCTCCTCTCTCCCATCCCCAGGGTTGGCTCCACTCTCCCATCCCAGGGTTGGCTCCTCTCTCCCATCCCCAGGGTTGGCTCCTCTCTCCCATCCCCAGGGTTTTCTCCTCTCTCCCATCCCAGGGTTTGCTCCTCTCTCCCAGCCTCTGCCAGGTCTGCATTCCCAGCCTGGGAAGGTTCAGCTCAGGGTCCAGAGCCTCCAGGCCCTGGGCTGGGAGCAGGTCGGGGGCTCTCCCATCTCTGCAGGTGGGTCCCAGATGTGTGGAGGACAGATGTTCCAGGGTCACATCCGTACTTTGGGTTTTCTGGGGGCACTGAATGGGCTTTGTGCGCAGGACTGGGCCTTGGGGACAAGGGGACCAACAGGTGAAGAAGAGAAGGGCATCCCCAGGATATAGGGCAGGGATGCTCAGATGGGGAAAGGAAGGGCAGCCCAGGCAGTGGTAGAGACCCAAGGGTGGCAGAGTGCCAGGCCAGGCCCGGCTTGTGCTGGGCTGTGTTTGGGGGATGAGGGGTTCCTGTTCTGCTGGGGACTGAGGGACTCATCACACACTCCTACCTGGCAGGTGTCGATGCTGCCCTGCGGGTACCCAGCACACAGGTTGCGGGGGTGGATGGTCCCCGCATACCACCGGCTGCTGTTGCAGAGCTCCGTGTCCATGAGGTGGACCTTGGACTCCTGCAGCACCATGCCTGTTCCCTGAGCTGTGGGCACAGAAGGGAATGAGCCCCCAGCAGGTCGGTGCCCATCCCCTCCCCTGCCTGGGGTGAACTGCTTCCCCTGGTCTGGCTCAGCCCCTTCCCTGGGACTGGCTTTGCCTCCAAGTGACTCGTCCAGCTGTGTCCCTGCTGTTGGCTCTGGGGAAGGGGCCAGACCCATCTCTCCAGAAGCTTCACAGTCATGGAATTGTTTGGGTGGGAAAGGACCTTAAAGTTCATCCAGTTCCATGACCATGCCGCACCCCCCCGCCCCCCCAGGCATGGACCCCTTCCCCCAGCCCGGGCTGCTCCGAGCCCCGGCCCTGCTGCCATCCCGCAGCTGGACTCTGTCTGTGGCCACTCCACGTCCCCAGGGTGCCCAGCCTGTGTCCCTGGCATGCCCAGCTCTCCCTCAGGGCGCACATCCTGCATGGGAACTCACCTCTGGCAAAGTTCCAGCCGGCGATGTAGCAGGATTTCAGCTCCGAGACCCTGAGCGAGGCGTCGGGCACGCAGCCCAGCTGGATGTAGTCGCTGCACTCCACGGGCTGCTCCAGCTCCAGCAGGGCGATGTCATTCCTCGCCGTGGCAGGCACGTAGTGCCGGTGTACCAGGAGCCTCTGGATGTGTCTCACCTCAGCCTCAGGGCCCAGCTGAGTCAGATCTATGGCCCCCAACACCACCTCCCACGTGGAGATGTCCCTAGAGAGCGGATGGAGACAGGGGTGACAGCGAGCGGAGCCACGGGCTGGCAGTGGCCCAGCATTTCCCTGCCTTCTGCTTCCCAAGGCGGACAGGGAAGCAGAGAGGAAAGAGGCGGGATGAAAGTGGCACGTGGTGCTGTCACCTGGGCACCTGTCTGTGCTCTGGGGACACCTCTGTCCCTGCTGTTTCTTACCCGCCCCTGGCGAAGCAGTGTGCGACCGTGAGGACCCACTGGGAGCTGAGGAGGACACCGGTGCACATGTGCCACGTGCCGTTCGCCCAGGTGGCCTGGATGCTGACAATGCCAGGCCAGGCCCCTGGCTGGACACTGGTGCCACCCATGACATGGGACGTGCCAGCAGCAGAAGCCACGGAGCCATAGTCGAGAACTGCAGAGCTGTGGTCAGAAGCCATGGGCCGGAGCCCACAGGTCCTTCTGTAACACAAAGCCATCACTGTTCGGCTCAGTGGCTGCTCTACTCAGGCTGAAAGTCCCCTGTTGTCCCTTCCAGCCCAGTTCTGAGTGGCAGAAAGACCTGGGATGCCTGAGGGGTACATCTGTCCTTCTGTTCTGTGGCAGCCCTGCACACAGGTTGTGCCAGTACCTGGGCACTGGCCAGGGAGTGAGGCTGGAACACTGTGGTGTGGGTGTGGGGAACATGTGGGGCCCCTAAAGGGAACCCCCTAAGTGGGGCCACTGACCTGCAGGTGTCCCAGGTGCCTCCCACGGGCCAGGCCAGGGCCAGCAGGATGAGAACCCACAGAAAAGCCATTGGTGCCAGTGCAGGTGGCAGCAGCCAGAACCGAGGTGTCGCCTCCAGTGCAGCCACCGCCACAGCACCCACAGCCTTTGTGGTGCTCACAGTGCCCCTGGCCCAGAGCCGCTGTCACAGAGGGGCTGGTTCTGTGTGCTGGGCATGGCAGGGAGGGGCAGCACAGTCATAGAGACATGGAATGGTCTGGGTGGAAGGGACTTTTAATGACCACCCAGTGCTATCCCTGTCATGGGCAGGGCCACCTTCCACTGTTCCAGGCTGCTCCAAGCTCCGTCCAGCCTGGCCTTGGACACTGCCAGGGATCCAGGGGCAGACACAGCTTCTCAGGGCAACCTGTGCCAGGGCCTGCCCACCCTCACAGTCAGAAATTCCTTCCCAACACCTAATCTAAATCTGCCTACCTTCAGCTTAGGGCCATTTTTCTTGTGCTGTCCCTACATGCTCTTGTCCAAAGTACCCCTCCAGCCTTCTTCTAAGCCCCCTTTAAGTACTGGAAGGGACATCAAAGTCTCCCTGGAACCAGCTGTTCTCCAGGCTGACCAGCTGTAACTCAGCCTGTCATGCCCTTCTTCCCACCCTGAGTGAACATTTTAAATGTGGTGATCCTTACTGTAAAACAGCAGTGCTCTGCTAGGTCACCTGCATTCACCTTTTACATATGTTTATTTACATCCATTCCAGAAAGGCATCTGACTTTGATTAAATACCTCAAGAAATGAAAGTTTCATTTTTTTGCTCTGTTATTTGTTGTGGTTATCCAGAAACTTTGACTTAGATATGTGTTTTATTTGCAGTTTGTTTTTAACCGCTTCAAAATTTTAGTCAGCTTTAAATTTAGGGCTAAAGAACCTTTACTAACTGGCATTTTTCTTGCAAAAGAAACAAGAGATTTTTTGACTTTCTTTGTAGAGTCAAGAAATGAAATATTAAAAACCTAAATACTGAACATTTTTCCAGTGGTCAAATCATGCTCTGTGTATTTCACAAAATATCCCCAGTCACTTTATTTTCCACAGAATGGAGAAGAGATCTATGGCTTACTGGAACAGCAGTTTCCCACAAAGGCAGAGCAGACTAGTACAGGAAACTTGCAGCCCATGGGCTGGGCTCAATATTCTCTCCCAGCAGGCCAAAGGCAGTCAGCTTTGGTGCACAGAGGGGGCTTTGTTCATGCTGACAACGAGGAGTGGCAGGTTACCTCACTACAGATGGTGTGCATAAGGGAGCCACTATGTAATAGATCATAACTTTAGGAACTCGGCTATTTAGTGGATAGAGAAATAATATGTCTCTGCACTAAAGATTTTGCCTAAGTCCAAGTCTCTGTGCCATCTGTTGGTCTTTCTCATTCAGCTGTGAATCTAAAGACCAGTAAGATGAAACAACTTAAGAGCATGCAATCCCTTAGTTTATTCCTGTCACAATTTTGGGTTTTTTTTCTGACAGGATGGATATATTGATTTCATGGAATATGTGGCTGCCCTCAGCCTCGTTCTCCGAGGGAAGATGGAGCAGAAATTGCGGTGGTATTTCAAGCTCTATGATGTAGATGGCAATGGCTGCATTGATCGACATGAACTGCTCAACATCATTAAGGTGAATCTCCAGGGGTCTGTGTTCTTGCCTCTTTCCTTAAAGACAAATCACACAAGTAAGACCTTTGCTGTTTCCCACATGGATGATCATGGATGAGACCTTTAACATCCTTCCTTCTCTGAGCAGAATTCCCCATCACCATATAATGCAATAAGCAGACTTGACAGAATATCACCACAGCTTATGTTACAGCATAGATAACCATAAAATTGTTTTCGTTAACTGTGACATAAATTGCACTTTCCAAGGTTTCAGACCCTGTGACTGTCAGTTGCTATCTCTGCAATATGTCTTTAATATGTCCTTTTCCTCATGAGAAGTTGGAGAGCTACTCACAGTTTATTTTTTAGAATCAGCTCCTAAATATCAACATCATAAAACATTTCTGATTCTGGCAAATAGCCTGAAGAAGAATGACTGAGAATGGAAAGGATTGTATGCAAATAACTATTGTGGATGGGGTAGGAATTATGAGCATGAAGATCACTATAAATTTCTCAGAATTAATTACGCTGCAAATTGAGATTATTTTGCAGGAGCTGCAAAATATTTCCTCCAAGATGCAGGAAAGATTCAATGACCCTAAATAAATTACATTTTTGAATACGAAATGTCATAAAACTGATTTGATAAAGCACTAATAAGATGTTATTAATGCATTCTCATATGGATAAGAATTTTAGAGCTGGGTATCAAAGAGACCTGACCAAAATCAATACCTGTAGTAACATACAGCCTCCTAATAGTAACTTGAAATAGAAATACTCAGACATTACAGTGAAGCAACAGATAACAACAGTTAAGACAGAGCTCTTGAGAAACAAGTCCTGTGGGCAACAACTGGTGGCAAGAAATGTATTGCCCTTTGTATTTTGTGGGTGTAGTTCAGTGTTTTTTTTGGTAACCTTAGGAAATTGCTGACATGGCATCAGTTTCAGTAAAATGGCATTTGAAAAAGAATGAAGAAAATTACCAAATATCAAAGGGTAAAAACTAGAAAATGAATAGTACTTAGAATCAGTATACTGATATATATATATATCAGTATATATCAGTATATATCAGTATATAAGTATATTTAGAATCTGTATAAAGGCTCTGAAATCACATATTTCACGGACATCTTTAAACAAAGGAAATATTAGCATTGAAAGAAAAGAGAAGCCTGAGCTATGTAGTTATGAATAAGGATTGTAGCAAACAGAAGTGGATAAGGCTCAAAGACGAAAATTAATTTCCAGTGAGCTTTAGGGAGAAGCCAGACACACAGGAAGCCGTATATAAATGGAAATTGTGAAAGTAAGAATAGAAATAAATTACCACAACATATAACAAAGGAATTTCATAATGTCAAGTGCAGAGGGTGTTTGACAGTGTTTCTGAGGCTTGGTGTACCATAAGGTCACAGAGTGGGCCAAAGTGGATCAGTTAGGTGGATTCTGATTCTGCCATTTCTGCAGCACCTAAACTGTACCTAAGCAAAATTAGGCAAATCCTCTGGATTTTTCTGCTCATTCCGTGATCCAGAGCTATGCTCCCTTTGCACTCTTCAGTGCCATCCCTAAGGCCTGATGATTTATGCTTTGTTTTCCTATGATGCTGGTTCATTTGTATGGGGAAGGTACCAGGCATGAGTGTCTTACTATGAATCTATGCTGACATGTAGAATCAGTCTGGGAGTTGTCAGGAAGCTTCTTACTCTTGCTCTTTTATTTTAGGCTATTCGAGCTATTAATGGTGGTGACCATGAAACTAGTGCAGAAGAGTTCACCAGTCGAGTCTTCGACAGGATTGATGTGAATGGCGACGGTAAGGTTCCTGCCTTTGTCATCCAGCTCAGGCAGCCTCTTTTCTACAGAGTAACATCCAAATTTTCCCTTCTTGGTAGAACTTTAGGCCTCTTCACTTCATATTTTCTTTCTATTTGCATTCTCAGACAGTAAGGCGTTCTCCATGGACCAAAAAGGATTTTTCTCCTGGCATGATACATAATCAGGATTTTTTTCCCTCTACTGAGTCTTAGCTTTGTTCTGTTCACAAGAGTTTGGTGGTGGGGGTTTTGGAATGGTGTTTTGTTTTCCTTTCTGTATGTTACTGTATAGCTCATGCCAGTTAGAAGTGGGAAATATTAACAAATGGCCCCAGCTGCTCCTAAGTACTTTAGCATGGAAAGGAAGAACTGGAATTTAATGTTGAAGTTAAGAGTTTCTCCACTGGATCTGCTGCAGGCAATACAGCAAGAATATGAAGTGCTCAGTCAAAAGTTGGTCAAGTGTCACTGTGGTCCCTGTGTGTCCCCGACTGGTATCTCTTTCCTTGCTACTTCAGGTGCTTATTACTTTCTGACAGGCTCTTTTGCTATTCCAGAATAACTCTGCTGATCTGCTTCCCTGAACAAGGGCTCTTTGGCCTAGGACAGAAAAATTTGTTTCTGCTTATCACAGCCTCCTTCTGTCAGTTCCTTTATCCTTGAAAATCAGCAAGCATAGGGCTGGTTAGTACTACGACAGGTTAAGAAAAAAAAGGATGCTATGACCCCACTCCTTAGCTACCCACTTCTATTGTTCTTTCTTATTTACCTCTTCCCTTGTATGGGGGAAAAAAAAGGAAGCAGGTGTTGTCTGGATACTGGGGATGTTTCATAAAAGCTTAAGAAGACTCTCTGAGGTCTTTAGAAGAGTGCCTTAGAGAAGTGCCTATATAGTAAGTGGTCTCTAAAGCTAGATTATTGTACTCCTTTTCTTGTCAGATGTGGATTGTGATGCCTTTTATTTGTGTCTGACACAGGTGAACTTTCTCTGGATGAATTTGTGGAGGGAGCAAGGAAAGATGAGGAGTTCATGGAGGTTATGATGAAGAGTTTGGACCTGTCACACATTGTGGCCATGATAAACAACCGTCGGCATAGTGTATAAATCAAGCTGGGAGAAAAAGCTGTGCCAATAGACAGAAGGGTGTAGAAACACACAGAAGGAGAGACAGCATTTTTCAAAACAAAATTTCCATAAACATGAATATGGAAGTAGGAACAGAAAGACACTGCTGTGTATCTGAGTGCATGTTCCTGTACAAATACTGAAGCTTAGACACATAAACGCAGGGCAGGTTCAGAAAAACAATCTGGGTGGCAGTATTTGACTTGTCTTTCTAAAATTTAAAGGCCAAATTTCAGGGCACAAATTTCCTTTTTATTCTGTGTCCCAGAATAAAAATTCTGCGTCCCACTTTGAAATGGATGAAAAGTAATGCCAAGTTTGGAAGAGCACTAGCAGAACTGGGTGGTGGAGTGTGGAGGAAATATTCTGATGTACAAAAGAAGAGTTTCAAGTTGTTATTAGTGTAGAGAACTATCAACAGAATGTAACTTGAACTGTTCTTGTCATGGTATTGGTTCATAAACACCAGCAAGGTTGTCCATACCAGATGTGCTTGGATTTGGTAGTCTCTGAAGAAGCAGCTTTAGTCGTAAGATCACAAGAACTGAAAGAAAAACCAGTCTGATAGTGACAAATCTGCTGCAGCTATTTGAGCTTTCTGTCATCAAAAGAGCTCTAGCAAACAGGTCAACGGTTTGGAGAAGCTTCTGTAACCAGAGAAAATATGCTACTCATTTTCCCAAAGTAGAAGAATAATTGAGAGATCAAATCTTTTATATACTCATGGTCCTACTTATTCTCCTGTCATACAACTGAGTCACTGGGAATGTTCAAGGCCATGTTGAACAAGGCTTGGAGTAACCTGATCTAACCCCATGGCATGGGGCTGGAACAAGATGGTCTCTGAGGTCCCTTTCTACCCAATCCATTCTGTGACTGTACGATAAATAAAGTATTTGAAGATGACCCTAATATTTTTGCTTCACACATCCTTTATTGGTCTTTCTTCTTGTTATTGAGAAGACAATCTAGTCGAAAAGCAGCTCACCAAGGTGAATTGTGAATTGTGCTGTTCATGTAAATGCTGGAGTGAAGCTAATACTCTAGATCAGTAAATTACTCTGATTTTGTACATGATGGGAAGAGTAATGCAGCATGGATGGAAGCTCAGAAAACTGTGTCTTGTTCACTGTTCATTAGATAAGGTCATGATCAGAAGCTTCTTTGAATCTGGGAAGAGAACCAGAAGGAAAGAAGAATGCAGGAAATGTTCAATGGAGTGCCTATGCCATAGTTGGCATGTTTTTCCTGTTCAGGAAGAAGAACTTGCAGACCTGTAACAAAACTTTAGACTGGACTTATTCTTGCTTATATTTAGGCTTCTGTGATGTTCAAATATGTATTGGTTTTCATGGCAAGGTTTTGGTAGTAGGGAGGCTACAGGAGTGGCTTCTTTGAGAAGCTGCTGGAAACTTCCCCCATGTCTGGCAGAGACAATGCCATCTGGCTCCAGGATGACACTGGCCAAGCCTAATACCTTCAGCCTTGCTAGTAACATGTCTGGGATAACACATTTAAGAAGGAAAAGTCAGAAGCAATTTCAGCCCGAGAAGTTAAGACTGAGAATATGTGAGAGAAACAGCTCCGAAGACTCCAAAGTCAGCTAAGAAGGAGGGGGAGAAGGTGTTTCAGGTACTGGGGCTGAGATTTTCCTGCAGCCTATGATGCAGCCCATAGTGAAGCAGGCTGTCCTCCTGGAGCACACGGAGCTCTGCAGGAGGTAAGCAGAAATCCACCCGCAGCCTGTGGAAGAGCCCCGTGTTGGAACAGGTCCTGGAAGGACCTGTGGGCCTGAGGAGAGAAGAGTAGGTTCCTGGTAAGACTTGTGACCTCACAGGGGACCCACTTTAGAGCAGTTCCTGAAGGACTGACCCCAGGGAAGGCACCTCACACTGGAACAGCTCATGAAGAACCACAGCCCATGAGAAGGACCCATACTGGAGAAATTAATGGAGAACTGTCTCCTGTAGGAGGGATCTCATGCTGCAGCAGCACAAGGACTCCTCTTCCTGAGGGGGAAGCAGTGGCATGAACTGATCATAACCTCCATTCTTATCTTCTTGCACTGCTGGTGGGGAGGAGGGAGAGAATGGGGAATAAAGTTAATACTGGGAAGGAGAAAGGGATGTGGGAAAGGTGTTTTAAAGATTTGTTTTACTTTTCATTATCCTACTCTGACTTTGGTAATAAATCCAATTAATTTCTCTCTTTTTTCCCTGTGATGGTAATCAGTGAGTGATGTCTCCCTGTCCTTATCTCAGCTCATGAGCTTTTTTATATTTTATCCAGCTGAGGAGGGAAGCGATTGATAGAGAGGCTTTGATGGGCACCTGCCATCCAGCCAGGGTCCACCTACCACAGTATTATTCTGAATACACTGTCTGGGCTTTCACTGAAGGGAAGATTTAGTAAGGAGATTTAGTAAGTACTGTCATTTGACTGTGAGAGAGTGATCATGTTTAGAGTAGCCACCAACAGTTTTCTAGGCAGGGTCATGCTCTATGCCCTACTGGCATGTGCACATCTGCAGTCTCAGAGCTTCTGCAAGGAATCACAGCCTGGTGGTTGGAGAACTGTCGGGTGAAAAGGGAAGATTTCCATGACCCTTAGTATTTAATTTGTCTGTCAGTGCCCCAGGAAAGCTGAGACCCTTGTTCCTGACGAGTCTGTCAGCATCCTGTTACAGGGACCCTTCGTTGAGCAGTCCTTCTGGATTGGAGGAAAGTTTGACTGATATTCAGGGAATAGGCCAACAGCATAAGGGAGACCTCTCAGCAGGTCTTCCCACTTTATGACTCTTCAGTGGGACTTCCTATATGACTGTGTGACCTGCTGCTGGCAACTGTTAGCATCCGTGAAGGAATCACTCTTTGGAATTTTATGGAACAGTTTATGGAATTATACTCTTTATAAATATAAAATTGTGACAGGTTAAGTTTCAGGGATTGTTGGTGATGGTATCTGTCGGTGCCAATCTGTGTGTATTTTTGACTGCAAAAACTTATTCAAAGCAATGTACCGACAAGCTGAAGTCCCCAACAGAACTATTCAACAGGCAGAGTGCATTTCTAACCCAACCGGCCTTCCTAAGGGGCAGAAGATAGATTCAGCCCATTGAATGCTCCCAGCAGTTATGATGGAGCCTTCCCTAACTTTTTCTCCATTCTTGGCTTACTTTTATACTATTTCTTTACATTTAGGTGAAGCTTGAGTGACACTAGTCATGCATATATTTGCTACTGATTGGTGTAAAATTCTCTCATTTCACCTCTAAAGATACAGTAAAAAAAAGTATAGAGTTCATGCCCAGTGAGAGGTGGTCGTACCTTGGAGGCAGATAACTTTGGGATGGAGGTGTGCATTAATATTACAATTAAGATATAATGAACCAGGTTCATCCAAGAAAAGCAATTTTGCCACAGTTGATGGCTTGGCAACAAGACATCTCCTCTCTCACAGCTGCTATGCAGTTAATCAGCTTCAAAGTACCATCAAGTTGCTGCCCTGCAAGGATTTCAGCAGAGCCTGGTGTTGGAAGCTGGTTGTCCTTCCTTTTGTTCCTTCACACCTATGGAATTTTTGCCCATTAGTTGAAGGGAAACCTGATTGCTGGTACTTGTTGGGTGCTTGAGAAACACGAAGAGTTCAGCTGGGCCCGGGGGGGAAGGGGGGCAAGGGGGGCGGGGGAGGGGAGGGCGGGGGCAGCTGGGGGCTGGCTGCTTTCTTGAGCTAGAGTGCGAGACACTCTCTTGGAGCTGTTGGGGCTTGGAGAAGGAAATTCGCCATAACCCAGACGGAGCTGCTTCTTTTGCTTCTTTTTCGTCTGTTCTGCCCCTTTTCTCCCCCTGTTCTGCCGGGACATGGCAGTGCCAGGCACCGCCGCGGAGCTGCTGATCCACCTCAGCCACCGGCCCAGGATCTCAGCTCATCCCTGCTGATACACCTCATCCACCAGCCCAGGATCTCAGCTCATCCCTGCTGTTCCACCTCAGCCACCGGCCCGGGATCTCAGCTCATCCCTGCTGTTCCAGCTGAGTGTTCCTCAGAGCCCTGCAGGAGCACCGGCACTGCCCGAGGGGGTTTGTGAAGCAAAGCCTCTCCTCCATCCCTTCCCGTCTCAGCCAAGAAAGCTGTCACGGGGTCCCTGGTTCTGTTTTGTTGTTAATGCTGTCGTTATTGTTGTTTGTCTTGTTATACACAGTAGTAAAGAAAGAACTATTATTCCGTTATTACTATCCCCATATTTTTACCTGAGAGCCTCTTGATTTCAAAATTATCATCATTCGGAGGGAGGGGGTTTATGTTTTTCATCCAAGGGAGGCTCCTGCCCTCCCTAGCAGACACCTGTATTCCAAACTGAGACATCCATTTTATCCTATGTATTGAGAGGGATTCTGACTTTGCTTTGCATATTTTTATTTTTTTTTTTATTATTTTTTTCAAAGCTGGAGCAACGCCAAATTTAGACAAGGAGCTCCTTGACTTATTGCTATCCCTACCCAGAGTAGTGTTTCTGAGTCAGGCATTACAACCTGCAGCAGATCATGGGTCAGGAATGCCACACCACTTCAGCACTCACCGCAGTCACCGGCTGTGACCTGTGCCAGGGCTCAGCTCCAGACACAGTTCATGGGGCTGCAGGTGCTGAGCTCTGCCAGCCCCCAGCCATGGGAGATTGTCACAGCATTGTCACAGTACAGCTGGCCTGCACTGGTGTGGTGGTTTCACATTGATTGACATTTGGGCAAAGTAAATCTGACCATAACACAAATCCGATTCGGCCAGCCCCATTCAAGATAAGAAGCAAGTACACCACTGGCAAGGAAGCCGGGCAGAGAGAGAGATCTCAGCCAATGGCTCTATAGCCCGGGAGATTTGAATTTGGTATATTTACGTCTTGAATTTTTTAAAATCCTGGTGCAACTGACCACAAAGAATAGTCTGTTTTTTAAAATTATAACAGCAGTACACTATGAGAG